GTTCGAATTCGGGAAAACACAAAGAGTGGATGCACCTACGCTTTTGCAAACGATTTCGAGCCATGTCATTCAAGATCTCTAACCATCGGTTGCTATCATCTCGCGGATCCCAACCAGGTAGTCTACACCTACCCCAGTCCACTTGTCAGTGACTTCATGGATTTGTGCCATGTTTTGGTCTGGCCACTCCTAGCTTTCTTCCAACCTACTCCTACACCATAAAACGTTGCACGTCAGAGCAGTCGGTGGTTACAGCACAACTAATCATTAATCCTAATAGTTTCTCAATAAAATAAAACATGTTTCACACTAGTTTACTGTAGACTGAGTAAGTATGATATTTTTTCAGCAAAAAAAATAGACATTAACATTTTTAGACGAGTTCCAATTTCTTCATACCACTTCACAAATTAGCTGTATTTTATTTAGTCAAACCAAATAGACATTTACACACAAAGAGTAAGAGAAATTCTGAGAAATTATAATAACTAAAGTAATTTATAGAAATGATTACAAGTGCACATATTCAGTCCTCAATGTGTTAAGGCCAAATCATCTCATAATAATAACACTAATAGTAATAATAATAATAATAAAATGATATTCGAAACAGTTTGGCCTCATCTATTTATCAAAAGAAAAAAACGAGAGATTTTCTTTTGTTCCACTCATAATACTGTTTGATAGTTTTCTTCTATTTTTTGTTTCACTAAATTAATTTAATCATAATTACTTTATTTCTTTTTTTTATTCATTTCAATCAACTGATTTTTCATAAAATCTGTGCATAATACTAACTAACACCCGCAGGTTTAAGTTAAAACAAGCTATATAACATTTGTAATAGAATTAATTGGCAACCTAATCATAATAATAATAATAATAATAATAATATGCTCACATATAAATATGTTTTCTTTTAAGGACAAATAATCAGTCATTTGAAAATATTTTATGCCTAAGTTTTAAGTAGTATGTCATACATATAAGTAAATGTTGCCATACGAGTATATTACTTTTTTAAAAATCTAAATATTAATTCATCTTAAATAATAGATTTTTAAAAAAATTGATAAAGGTTATATAGAGTTTACCAACAATATTTCCCTTGTCTTCTTTCACATGTATGAACTCTGAATGATATACAAGTGAACTTAATGATTTGTTAATTTGCTTAGTGATGAATTTTAAGTATTTGTAATTGCGTTATTACGACTAATTTCTATGTGGAATATAGAATAAATACGTCCGATTTTTTATATTATATTGACTTAGAGCTAATTGTTTTCAAAATGTCTCATTCTTCTATCATTTATGATTGTTTACTAAATTAAAAGAATTGAAATTTCTGAATAATTAATTTATTTCATATAATAACCAGTAAGGATTACATTAAAATAACCGAAATATCACAACTTACAGAAACGGTAGTACAATTATTAGATATCAGTTATGAAATAAATAATGGAATAAAAATATGAAATATCTGTTACATCACCTAGATGGATAAAATTATTTCGTTCGTTCATTTAATGGATAGAATAGATGAAAGTCAAATGATCAAATAATTTCAAGTGGACACATAATGTAGATCTTCTTCACAAATAGTTTAGTAAAAATAACCTGGTTTAGGCCATTAAGATAGTTAGGCTGTTTGAATACAATCCATCAAGTAATATGATTACCGAACTTCTAACATCTAACTGGTCATCATTCAAAATTTATCGTCACAATCGATCAAGGTATAAGAAAAGGAAACTTGTTGAAATACTTTATGCTGAGAATTCTATGTTGTACCAAAAATATAATGTTGAATAAAGCTTCTAATTAATAATAATATAATAATGACTCAAAATCGATAGAATTTATCAGATTCAAATACTTCCGGTGTTCCTTCAATTAGCATACTACATATGCTTTCAATGAGCGTTATCCATAGTGTCGATTGTTTCTCTAAATATATTTATTACTGTTCATGAAAAGCCCCCAAACAACAGTTAAGACTTCCTTTATCCATTTACACTAAAGCCATTTTGGGTTTTTGGCTTTTATTCAACTTTACAATATTTTATTTGATAGTTGAACAAGAAAATTTTAAAATTGGTGCCAATAAAAATTATTAATCTCTTTGTGTCCTATTTTAATGTCTGATATTATAAGTAAATTTCAACATAAATAAGACAGGTGACTGAAAAGACGTTTTATTTTCGTAGCTTAGGTGTTTTGCTGAGGCGCGTGTACTGTTCCCTGTCTGACAGTAGTACTTGGACACTTCTTCTCATAGTTTATACTCCTCGTTTTATTAATTAACCGTGCTATATTTTATCATTCCTAATTAAAAAATATATTTACTTATCATACATGAGTTAATATTATAAAGGCCTGCTGAACAGTAAATCATTTTCTAAATATCAATAAAATCGACAGCCCAACCACTAACGAAAAAACTTGATTGTTTTAGATCCATACAAATATTTATCATTCATTTTAACGTATATAACTTAGGTTTTAACGGTTTCTTTCCTCTATCTTAAATGGATGACTGTTTTAAAAGTCATATTTATCAAGCTTGATTTACTTTTGATATTACTAGAAGTAAAATAAATAAAAGAACATAAAAAGTCACTTCTATATATTATAATTGATAAACTGAGCAATTAAACAAATAGAAACTTCACGAAGTAGAAGGATTCTTACGACAGTAATTCATTTTTTCAATGATTATATTTTAAAAGCTATGAAAAAATTAACGGTTTAATATTAGCATGTTGTGTGATATTGGGAATGATTTAATCTATACTGAATTCTCCTGAAAACCATGCTTTGCAGTAAAACAGTTTATTTAAAACACGCCTAATCCAATAAAATATTATTTGTTACCAAGGAATAACTATTTTGTTCAAAAGACGTTTTGTCCATTTAATATAGAATTATCTTGGTAAAACCCTTTCTCTGGTTGATGTCTAGAGATTCTCATTTTGAATCCGGTACACTAAAGGTTTTAAAGCTAGTTTAAATATGATATAATAAAATTAAGAAAAAAATATGCACAAACGCCTTTAGATGGTGGTTGAAGGTAGTCAACAGGATGGTGGCCACATTTCAACTCAATCGATAGCATTCGATCTGCACCAAAAAGGTCTTGACACACATGACACTGATCACCACCATGTGATCAATCAATAGTGATTACAGATGTCTTTAAAAGGAAAAAGGCTAGTTTACTTGCCTCTTGGTTCTAGAGTGCTACATCGAAAGAGAATTCTGCAAAAGCTTGCGAAGTCAACATGTTTCCCAAATACATTTGGAACAAAAAAAGCCACAAAAAACGTCATTTTGTTACTTGAAATTTTTTAGATTGGCTGAGGTTTGAGAAGGCTTTTGTGGAATTTTATCCTGCCTAAAAGCAAATTTTATGAGTTAAATATGTTTTCTCAGACAGTTTCAGAAAAATAAAATGAAATCCAGATAAATACATGTCACTCATCAGAACGTCATAAAAATTAAACATAACTCGTCATTCTTGCTGGACTTTGCGAATAACAAATTCAATAGGTAACATCCATTTTTTATGATAAAGGGACTAAATAAATAAGGTCGTCAAGTTATTTATGAATCAAAGCAGGTAAATTCCCAATATATTAAACGATCAGGACTGCGGTAGTATAGTCTACTATTCATTTTGGAATTAATAGCATACTTGTTGAAAATGAAGTATAACGGTCAACACATTCCCCTTGTTTGTATAGGATCGTATCAGTCGTTGAGCTTGAAATGTCTGACTAAATACAGAACAGAATAACGTATCTGTGTTACCTTTACTTTACACATCGTAACGATTAAGAACATATAGTTCTGGTTTACAAGTCACCAAGACTGTCTTGATTTCAATGAACGAGGCATACATAAGGTTAAAGAAACATTTACAAGTTGTTCAAAGTGAAGCAGGAATTTTGGAAACTACTTTACTACTCTAAAGTGTAAACAAGTGATATGCGCACATATGGTAGAGTTAAAAACCTTTACAATCAATTTATGAGGTAAGCTGTGTTTAAAAAAACATTTATTAAGAGCAACATATGCCATAAAAAGTGAAACTGATTCGTCACCTATCATTTATGAGAATCAAAAACGCACATGGTGTAACTTAATTATGCGATGAAAGTGAAATACTAATCAGAAATACCTCACTACGGCAATATAAAAACAAACGTGACACTTATTGATTTTAATTTGTCGGTTTTTCCCTCAACTTTAGCACAAAATATTGTTAAAAAGTTCTAATGATGAATGACTTCTTTTATGAGGATAACTTCTGATATAAACATGTAGGACTAGAGATCTCTCAAAACATACGAAGCACTTAGTGATTCTGTTGTCTTTAATTTTTCACTCTAGAAAAGTACATGTCTAGGATTTTACGATAAATTGAAGACAAAGTTCATAAGATATGTAACTGTTGCTTTCCCATTGCACCATTGTGTTAAAAGCTGGAAACCAACTTTATACTACTCATGTTTTTCAAATCGTTTTATGACGTTTTCACTTCATGGCAGTTTTTACATAAGTTGCTAAACGATAAGTAAAAACGCTGAAACTAGAATAGGTGTTCAAGACATTTTACTTCTCATAGGCTCGTTGTGCTAAAACCTACCAGAATATTAAGTTTTTCTTTGTAAACTGCGCTTTTTCATTTTTTATTTATCTTTACTTAGAAAGATTTAGGTTTTCCTTCAAACGGTTCGCTATATTTAATCCGATTCTTTGGCTTGACAAAATGTGAAACACAGGGAAGTCGCATAGATCTGAAAGATTAACTTAGATTTAAAATTAAACTCTAGACTTTTAAAAATTCATATTAGACCTGTTCATGGCACCTTATAAACACAAACAAAGAACTAACGACAATCACTGAGCGTTTTGCTGATTTTGTCATTAACCAAAGTAAGCTATATTCTCTAATTCTGCCAAACTGTATGTTATTATAAACGACAACTTACATTCACTTCAATCGGTTTGAAATTGGGAGCTACTTTATTTTCCTCCTCGCTAGTCCCTCTGAAATTGGATTTCTTAGGAGAGGAGTTTTCCGGACAAACGTTGTTGTTGTTCTGCACCGAATTTGATGTAAATGATTTTTTTACACGCTTTGACTTAAAATAAACCTTTTTTCTTATATTTATATTAGATCTTGGAGAGCAATTAATAATTGAGCTACATAGCATATTGCTGGCTGCGTGCTTTAGATTTTGAGAAACAAAGCCATTTCGAACATCGACGTTAGAAACCATGTTGTGTTCAGTAGCATTTGAGAAGGCATATTCTCTATCTCCTTTCAGAGTTGGAATTCGACTGTGTTCAGACTTTTGTGCTGGATCACACCTATTGAGTTCTTTGTTTGCGGAATAGTCATGGTTTTCTTTATTTGACTTATCTGAGTTGTGTGCTTTTGCCTCAACATGTGATGGCAAAGTTAGAATAAAGGGATCGGTGGTTTTATTTTTTTCTGAGTTTGTCAAGTCCACTGGTAACTGTAAACTGGTTTGGGCTTGACTCTCAGATACATAAGTACTCGGAAGCTGATTAGACTGTTCAAAAGCCACACCGGAAACTCGTTTGTACTCATTAATCAACTCTTGATTACTGACTGCAGTGTTATTAGACTGAAAAATATCGGTAAGAACAGCCGACAAATTTACTGAAGAATATGAGCTTGAGGTGTACGGTGGTTGAACTGGAAAGTTAGTTATATTATTTGTCTGTCCACCCCAAGTGGGATTGTGAACTGGAGAATTCATAGTGACATCATCTAAATGTTGGTGTGGAAGTGAATTATAAGAGAGAGAATTTTGGATCATTCCAAAATATAATTCCACAGATTGTTGTAAAGCATAAGCTCTGTCTATTAACGACTTATAACAAACAGACATGGCTTCATAATTTGGACAATTAGATTTTGGAACAGGTATATTAGTTATGCAAGTGCTAATAGAATTTATAACATTCTGCCGCCAGTCTAAGTACGCTTCATATTTTGTAGAAATGTGCTTGTAAAGTTTATCAATTTCTTTAGAATTTGAGTAGTAGAGCTCATCATTATAAGATCCATTCGAGGGGCTTTGCTTGTTCGAAGTAACTGTCACAGGATTTGTAGAATGACTCAAATGGGTCGAATAAAATAAGTTTGACAGATTGTTGGAAAGAGAACTGCCTGATGTTTTATCGAAACCATGATTGACTTCCGCTAATGATGAGCACGTAGAAAACGATCACTTTTTAAATCATTCGACGTTTTATACTTCAAAAGAAATAATTTAACATAGCAGCATAAAGTTTAACGTGTTCCGGAGATGCAGTTATATTGCCATCACTTAATATTTCACTTGAGCGTTCTGTACCATTTAAAGAGGAAGGAAGAACATTATTTTCTTTTGTAACCAAATTTATAGGGCCAAAAGGTGAATTTTTAAGTATCATTTTGACATCTTCTCTTGAGTCCTCTTCTGTTGATTCACGTTTCTGAGGTGCAGCAGTTTTCCTTTTGCGTTTGTTAGAGCCATAATAATATTGCTCGTCAGATATATCGTATTTGTTATCGATATAAGTGTCATTGAACTCATTAAATTGATGCATGGCATGTATCATAACACCTCTTGGCATAATATTTTAATTCATTAAACTGCCTTTAACTGTGATCGATGAATGACGAATTCACGATACTCAATGTCTGTTTAAAAAAGTACGTCATAAGCTACTGTGATACAGATACTAAGTGACTCCGTAAAACAAAGCAAACTTGTATCGCAAATGTTATTCTGCATGAAAACTCAAAAGTTAAGGTCTGAAAATGAGAGGTTGTTTCAATAGAAAAATTGAACCCAAACTTAATTTGTATAGACTCATTCTGCAGTTCTAAGGGTAGGGTAACAATGGTCCTTATCCCTTTCACATGTTTATCAAAAATGCAACCATTGGGTAGTGCAAGTGAAATTTCACTGAGCTTTAGACAAGCCATTCGTCAAGATGAACAGGTTTTACGTTAGACTACAGGTCAATGAAAGTTAACCGATTTTCATAAAGGTCGGAGATAACTAACGCTCATTATCCATTTGCACACTAGTGACTGGTCACTGCGTCTGAGGCCTCGCTCTGTTTACGTAATCAATCGTTACAAGTGCATTCCTTCAAAAGCGGTATGTTTGTCCTATGTCGTCAGCAAAGTAGATGCAGTAACTGGATACCACGAAGAGCAGTCCGCTTTAGGTACCGACCACGAGTTGTGACTTCTATGTGAGCTAGGTCGCACAATTCCGCTTCAGCTCGAGTAGACCATAAACACCAGAAGAGATCACCTAGACTGATGGATTACAATCTCGTTTACTCCGCAGATAAACTTTGAAGGATTAGTAAATTCAAAATTATTTTGAAACATCGTCTAAGTCCACCAACTAAATATTATTTCGTTTGATCAGTGGTGTATACCTAGTTTCAATTGATAATTGGGTAATTTGATGAGAGACCAAAATATAAGTTATATGCTTTCTCTTGTCATTTCAAGATGTGTTACCTAAAATAAATTTCCTTTAACTCCTACTTATCATCTCCCTTTGACCACAACCTCAGTAAGAATGTGATGAAAGAATACCCTCATGAAATATACGACTGTAAGAGTTTGATATTTTAAAATTTCTCAAAAATGAGCCAAAAAACCGTATTTTTGTCGTTTCTTAAGCTTAGACTACAAAGAAGATCAACCATATTTTCACTAATTATTCATCACATGTTAAGTTAACTGTCATTCAGTAGGACAGGACAACTCTTAAAAGGATATACATAAAACATTGTATCGGTCAAACACTGTCACAAAATAAGAACATGAAAACAACAGACTTCCTTCCTGCCGAACGTTTGCCACATTTAGTTGTCTTCATCGACTTTCCAATGGAGTGTTGTCTACAAAATATCAAAATTTCATGAACAATTTTACCATCTATTGTAACAGGAAATTCAACTACCAAAGACAAATGGTGATAATTTCAGGCCAATCTGGTTTTCATATATCTACATACAATCTCTGCATTTTTGGCACCAGAATAAGACACCGACTGTTACTTCGACGTAGGTTTACAAAGGCCACAGGCTGCGTGTTGCGGGAGAACTAAAGACAATGGGCTGATAAAGGCCTTTATTTTAAATATTAATTCACTATGTTTTTGGATGAAATTGTTTATTGAACTCTTGAACGTGTTTGTTTATATCACTATTTTCGGACATTTTGGTGCTCTCTTTGTCTTTGGTTTGTTATTTGGGAGTTGTTGCTCCGGGAACCTACAAAATTGAAGGTTTTTTTGTAATTGTTATAATTATTGTTGTTAGAACGACTTTTGGTCGATTATTTGTGAATTGCGAATAAACTTGGTACCTGATTTGGAGTTTTGGTTCTCTTGCCTAATTGAGTTCGTGATTTGCGAATATCGACGGCCAGTACTTCAATAACTGGAACGGGCAAAAACGCATACTTGGACGTGACGTGCGGGCCATTCGTAAAATAAATACAAGGTCGTAAAATCTCCTCTATTTCGACAATTAATGGAATAACGACTCACACTTCAGGGACACATAAGTTTAATACTTTTTATAATGATAAAATATCGTCTTTCCTTTTTCCATGATATGCTACGTCTGTTAACATATATATCATATCTACGATGTATCTTTATCTATAGAGAATACACTTCACCATTATTTAATTGATACTAACGTTACACACGGACTTCACCGGATCACACTACACAAAACCAAATCGACCATATCTGCGTCAACAAAAAGTTCAGGAGGACGATGGAAGACGTGTGAACCAAGAGATGAGCTGATATAGCATCAGATCATCACTTGCTGATCGCCAAGAAGAAATTGAAACTCATGAAGTACTGGACAACGGGGCGGACAATATCACATAAGTTCGATACGGCCTTTCTTCGGGATACTGACAATCTCAAAAAATTCAAGATAGTCCTCAGCAATAAGTTCCAGGCCTTTCACGATCTACGTAATAGAGAGGGAACTACTGTGGAGAGCAACTTGAAAGGGATAACAGGCAATCACTTCAACATGTCATGAGGTTCTAGGCCACAAGAAGCATCACCATAAGGAATGAATCACTGTTGATACACTGGATAAGATTCAAGAATGCAGCAATCAATACCAGCCGAACAAGAGCAGAGAAAGCCAAGGCACAAGCTGAATACATAGAATTAAGCAAGCAAGTGAAGAGGAGCATCAGAACTGACAAACGTAAATATGTGAAAGATTTAGCATTGACGGTTGAAAAGGCTGCAAGAGAAGGAAACATGAGACAACTGTATGACACGACAAAGAAACTCTCTAGAAATCACCGCAAACCGGAGCGACCAACGGAAAGCAAGGAAGGCAAGGTAATCACCAACACTGGAGAACAACGAAACAGATGGGTAGAACACTTCAAAGAACTCTTGAGTCGATCAGCTCTACTGAACCCACCTAACATCAAAGTAGCACCCACGGACCTCCCAATCGATGTTGGCCTACCAACAATTGAAGAGATCAGCATGGCCATCAGACATATCAAGAGTGGCAAAACAGCAGGACCAGACAACATTCTAGCAGAGGCACTGAAAGCAGACGTATCAGTAACTGCAAGGATACTCCACATTCTCTTCAATAAGACAGACTGGAAAGAGGACATTTGGTAAAAATAACAAAGAAAGGCGATCTCAGCAACTGTGATAACTACAGGGGCATCACTCTTCTCTCAATGCCAGGAAAAGCCTTCAATGGGGTAGTGTTAAACAGAATGAAGAACTGCGTAGACGCCCAACTTCGAGACCAACAGGCAGGATTCCGTAAGAATCGGTCGTGTACATACCAAGTCGCAACTCTACGGATCATTGTGGAACAGTCAATTGAATTAAATTCATCACTCCACATCAATTTCACTGACTACGAAAAAGCATTCGATGGAGTGGACAGAACAACACCATGGAAGCTTCTTCGATACTACGGCGTGCCTCAGAAGATATTCAATATCATACGGAGTTCCTATGATGGATCAAA